ATTTTTTTTATTTTTTTAAATTTAAAACGACCCCCTAGTAATCCTTTTACTATTTACCCTTTTACTATTTACTAAAGATTAAGTCTATGAATTTCAGGTCCTGGTACTAAAGATTATGTATGTGTGCGGACTTCGTATTCTTATACTAAAGATTAAGTCTAAGAACTTCGAGTTCTTATACTAAAGATTAAGTACGTTTAAGAACTTCGGGTCCTTAAACTAAAGATTAAGTCTATGAACTTCGAATTCTTGTACTAAAGATTAAGTGTGCAAACTTCAGGTTCTTATACTAAAGATTAAGTAAGTCTACGAACTTTAGGTCCTTATACACAAGATTAAGCAAGTCTACGAACTTCAGGTCCTTATACACAAGATTAAGCAAGTCTAAGAACTTCGGGTCCTAGTAAGTCTATGACCTTCGGGTCCTTATATTTGAAGTATGCAACCGCAGTTAAAACTTTAAGATTATGTTGCAGCACCAAAAGGAGTGGCAAAATATTGTGATATTAGCTTAAGCTTCTGTACAAATGGATGACTTCTCACAGTAAAGTCATACAGCAAAATTCTAGCTGCTCATTTGCTGCTGGTCAGTATCATATGATATGATATGCTTCTTCACAGAACGTCTATTGCCAACTTCAAAACAATAGAAGACAGATAATAAAGCAGCAAAATAGAAAGATGGAGACTCTATTAAGAGACTTATCAAGCTGCATTTCCTGTCTTCTCATTCTGCTACTGCCATTCCCTGTGATAGAGTTGTTGTAAGTCGGGTATGGCAACAAGTTTCCATCCACGCTACCGAAAATTCTAGTGAAAACTGTTTCTCCGAACATCCCGATCGTTGGGTTTAGCAGACTTGTTATCACGGCATTACCGAGATAAGAAGGTGCATATGAAGCAACGTCGGTATAAGCCTGGGGGAAGTATTGTTGGTGATAGATTGGGTGCTGGTGTGGGTGCGGGTGCGAGGGCGAGCGGATATAATTTGGATGAAGCTGCTGGCTATGATGCAAGGCAGAGGCAGCATTGGAATGGGGCGGTGTGTTCATCGACGGTGGTGGTCTTCGAGGTACAGCCATACCCAAGTGAGACTTCTTGGATTCGGAATCTGAGTTCGACGTGCCACGACCATAGAGGGGAACCAAAGAAGAGGGAGTGATGCTAGCCTTACAAACAGGGCAGTTCTGGGTGTTTTCGGGTTCGTCGCTGGAGATTTGAACGTGAAGCCATATGTAAATGCACGGCCAGCAGTAGAGATGACCACAGAGGGTGACAACAGGATCATCGGCTGAGTCTAAGCAAATGTTGCATTCGAAACAACCGTTAGCATCTTCTGAGACGGATCTCCAGTTTTGCTTGAGAGAGACATCATGTTCAGACTCGTGCACGGAATGGTTTTGTTCCATGGAATGAGTAATACGTTCTGTTAACAAAACGATAAATTGAGATAATGAGATTCTTTTAAAAAGGAGTAAATTAGTGAATAAAATCAGCTGCAATCGACGATTGAAGAACATTGTAGAAAGATACCAATTTGAGCACATAAATAACAAAAACATAATTTTCAAAGCATAGAAACTAAGAAACTTGTGGGCGGAAGTAGTGTTTCTAAGCTTTAATTTCGAAAAACAAAAACAAAATGATTACTAAACTGAGTAGGTTTCTAAACAAATGTTCTTGGAATTTGACAAAAAATTCAAAATATTTCCTTATAATTGATTACTAAACTGAGTAGTTTTCTAAACAAATGTTCTTGGAATTTGATAAAAAAAATTCAAAATGTTACCTTATAAATGATTACTAAACTGAGTAGTTTCTGAACAAATGTTCTTGGGATTCGACAAAAAATTCAAAATGTTTCCTTATAAAAGATGAAAGGATGAGAAAACAAACACAATTTTAAAAAACCAAGCTACTCGAACCAGATTTTTTCCTACAATTGGCAAAACTTAAGCTCTGTTCCATCCACAACTAATCCAAGCCAATTTATAGCGAAGAGGCCAAAAGGATTGTGAAAACTTAAAAGAAAACACAGGGATCAATGATTCAAGGGCCGATCTATAGACACAAGAGCTGGGATCAATGTAGATTATTCAGACCATTCAAAAATCATCTATCACGAACCAGAGTCGAGACTCGGAACACCCTCTTCATTAAGCTAGCAAGCCAATTGCAGGGCAACAACGCAAAAATCCCAAATAAATAACAAACAAACGTCCAATCAATGCCCCAAAAACTGGACTCGTTCAGCTTGTAGTTTACGCTACCTATCCTCTAAATTGGAAAAGGAGAGAGACGTGGATGAACGGAAAGAAGTTTTTGGAAACAATGTCAAAACTCCCAAATCATCTCGAAACTTCGAAGTTGAAAATCTTGAGACGGAAAAAACAAAAAGACACAGCAATCCAAACAAACTTATCCGCAAAATCATGCAGTTCAGATAAAACAAAACCCCAAAATCAACCTAGATCGAATCACATGGAAAGAAGAAAAAGAGGGCAGTTCAAATTGAAGCCGAACAAATTCGCTTAAATGCATAGATTAAGATCCAACACTCGTTGTCTTGAACAGGAAAAAAGACCAATTCATTTAAACAAAACCCAAATTCCCCGAACACATTTCACACAATTCAAACAAAGAATAAAACAAAACGTAACCTTAGAGATTAGAAATACAAAAATCACTCACCGTTAAATAAGAATCCGAAGGGTTCCGTACGAAAATCCCCGACCGAAATCAAATCAAATCCAATCAGAGAGATAAATGAACGCAAAACGACGTTGGCGGAGAGAACTTCAAGAACAATTCTAGAGAGAGGAGGATCGAGGGGAAAAAGAGGGAGATTTATATAAAAGGAGGGGAGAAAACGCGTGTTCTCCACGAATAGAGTAAGCGCGTCGTGTGTTTAGGTTCGTGTCGGCGCGTCGGGTTTAACTTTATCCAGCTTTTAATTTTCTTTTTCCTTTTAATTCTTTTTTTCCTCCAAAATAAATTGATTATTTAAAAGACTCAGACCAGCCAAAGTTGAAAATTATACGCGAAGAAAGCGGAGTTAGTGGCACGTGCAAGGGAGGCACGTGCGAAACCCAACCAACTTAGTTCTTATTTATAGATTAATTGACAATAGACACTCTTTATCATTTTATTTTATTTTTAAATCACCAAAATTAGTTAGTCGTTTTGAGTGACGTGGCAATTTATTTTCAAATAATCCCAAATATTAAACTTATTATTTAATTATTTATACCATATCCACTAATTTCCTATTTTATGAAAATATTTTAACAAATTTATAAAGCAATAATTTTGAAAATTAAAATTCAAGCCAAATTAAAAAATATATATATATATATATATATAATTTTTAAAAAACATATATTTTTATAATTTAAACCGTTATCATAACTATAAATTAAAAAAAAATGGTCCACCTAATTATAATGGTCCTATATCTAATTAGAAATATTTAAAAGAAATTAATTGAGAGTATTCTTCCATAACTCAAAGTTTAAATGATAATAAAAATTCAATTTCATACTTTTAATTAATTAAATTAAATGTTCAAATTACAAGTTTAATACATTCAACACAGTTTAATCTCGATCAATTGAAGGTTAATACAATGATTAATAATAGCCATATTTTGTTTTTTATTCCCATGAATTATATTTTAAATTTTAAATTTTATTTAATCGTACCTTAATTTTGGATAAATGACAATAATATCCGCATCGTAAATATTTATTAAAAATATCACCTCGAATTTAGATAAATATTGTTAATTTAACATTAAAATATAAATGGTTGCAATTTTGCCCCTATGATAAATGTGAAGGAGGTCATTCATTTCATCCAATTGCACCTCAATTTTAGATAAATGTTATAATTTTAATTTTAAAATATGAAAAGTGTCTGCAATTTTGCGTCTATAATAAATATTTATTAAGAAGATTATTTAATTTCATATTATTGAGAAGATAAACATTACAATTTTAATTTTAAAATATAAAAACATTACACTTTCATAATATGGTACAAAAATTGATAATCTGTTATAGGAAAATATGGAAACTTCTAAATTGGGATTCGTCGGTGGAATAATACACCGACTCTACGCCGGGAACAACCCTCCGACGGCGGTGGCAGCGGCGGCGGAAACGGGATTCAAAGAACGTTGGTGGCCATAACGGAAGACGGTGACTTGACGGAATGAAAAAAGTTTCTTTTTATTTTTTTTTAATTTTAATTTATTAATAGAAAATGATAAATGTTGAAGTGTGTGATAAGATAGGATGACACGTCATCATGAAACTCAACGAATATTCGATATTATCCATTCCTGGTGTGTGGGGCCCACGTGTTCCCATTTGTGATGCCGTGTCCTGTTGCGAATGAGTGGATAGTCCACGTAGGATCCCCAAGCTGCTTATCAATTTCCACGCAAGTAAAAAATGATTTTTTCAATATTTAAAAAATTTTACATTAAAATATAGTTTTAAAACAATTTAATAAATCTAGAATTTAGTTTAAACTTTTTTTTAACAAATATAAAATTAGGATTTTTTAATTAAAAAAAGTTAAAAGTATAAAATGACCCAATTCATATTTTAACCAAAACTACATTATTTTTTTTTTTTATTTATTTTTTTTTTGTTGGGAAGTTCACATTATTATCCCTTCATTCTTTTCCGATTTCGTCTATAGACATGAAATAAGGTTTATTATCACGCTCTCTATATGAAAGCGTGCAAAGATGTTTTCTCCCATAGGGAAAATGAGGTAATCTCCGCAGCTTTACACTGAGGTTATGAACTCATAGGGAAGAAAATTTATGGATGGAATCAAATATGCCGTATTTACAAACAAAAGTACTCAATTATTGGAGAAAAATCAATATACTTCTAATGTCGAATCGGGATCTAACTAGGACAGAAATAAAGCATGGAGGGGAAGGAGAGAAAGCAACTTTACCTAGAAAAACAAATTCCGAGCACAGTCTTGTGATGGTTATATTTGTAAGTGTTTGATCAATAAAGTTAGGATACATAACAAGAACACTAATTTGGTTATATATTTCTAGAGGATACATGTGAATGGTAAAAACATGGAAGAAATGATAAATAAATATCAGAAGATCATAATGAATGGTATCAAAATTTGTACCTGAGTAGAGACTAGGATGGTTCCTCCACCTCCAGGTTGAGTACACTGATATCACAACAATCTCCAGCAATGGCCGCAGAGAGACCTTCATCAGCAGCTGTTTCCAGTGCTTAAACTGTTAGACCAAAGTGGAACTCAATCAAATGCATCTATCTCCAAAAACTGATCGAGCTTGTGTTGGATCAAAAGCAACCTGTATGAGTTATCTTTTCCAAGGAGACCTTCTGCCATCACTCCCGTTCTCTCTCCATCGTTTCTTCCTCGAACTCTTCTCTTTGCTGCGCTTACTACTCCCATGGTTTTCTTTGTCCTTATTTCTCGACTTCTCGCAGCGAGATTTTCTCTTTTTTTTAGAGGACGGCGTATCCAAATTCCTGGATGCGTCGTTCCCTCGAGGCAATGGTTCATCGTCGCCGAACTGCCAATTGCACAGCATCTCCTGACCATCCCCATATTCTGGTTGTTGTTGTATAGGTTCCCCTGCTCCAGGGAGTAAAGAAGTAAAGGTCACTTCTCCATCTCTGCCACCTTTTCGCTTCAACAAGACTGGATCGGGTCGGATTATTGTGCCTAGAATACTTCGGTTTGGACCAAGACCTAAAATGGTCTTAACATTTGTCAAGATTGAAAAGGCCATTGCAAATGCAGATCTTATCTGCAACCATGGTAGATATCAGAAACAAAGTCGGAGTCGAAAAGAAAGTTAATCGACATACATGATTGAAGAACAAACCTGGAAGTAATTGTAGGAATTCTTGCCAATGTCATTATCTGGTGCCTGGATTACACCAATAAATCACATAAGAGAAAGAACTTATAAGAAGGAAATGGAGACCTATATCTTACAGCCTTTTACATTACTTAAAGCAAGGAATGCTCAATCATCAAGTTATCAATTTTTTTAAAAAATAGAGATCAAAACAAAGTGAAATTATATTCATCAAGCAATTCATCTTGAGGTAACGAGAACATGGTCGAACCGTAACGTCTCAGAGGCCTATTTCAAAGATTTACATCTAGCACAGCAAATCAGACATCCTTTGGTCCAGACAAAACAAGTTTATGTCGAATTCGAAGGGAGTTGAGATACTATATTCTACAACAATTATACACAAACTGCTCAAACAACCTCCCTGTTAGTATGTCGAAAATAGAAATTAACCTGAGGATCCTCAATGGAAAGAAGAAATGGGCGTCCTTTTGTCATGAATCTGCAACAGTACCAAATAAAAGAAAAAATTAGGGAGAAGCCAAAATAGGACGTAATGAAATGTGTTGCCTGAAAATGAGAATGGAATTTATATTCATCATATAATCTTTTATGTGGTTTACCCTCTGTTACTCTTCGAGAAAAAAATGCCTCCCGTATTGCAAGATACACCAACATCAGAAGTGTTCAATTTGCGACCATAAAAATCAAAGAAATGTACCTGATTTTCAAAATTAAGACAATATAAAAAAGAGATCCTTCTCCTCCACTTCTGTTTCTAAGTATACAGAAAAAATTGCAAAGGATAGACTTCTGGCAGTAGAAGAGTAATTAGAAAGAGGAAAAGAGTAGGTCTAATAAAGCCAGCTTCCATAAAGCACAAGACCCAGAGGCGATTTCCGAGAATAGATTGGCTTGCTAAACGAATATAGTACCAAGACTACTCATAGCAGCAATAGCTACACGAGAACTACGAAAAAAAAATTATGTTTTCGCACTATTTTCACATCTGAGAAAATATTTTTCACTACAATGCTAGTAGGTACTTCGAACAATAAAATACACATACCAAAAGGACTCCCAGATTGTGTTCAAGAGAAGAGTGGGACACGTTGAAACTCTGTGCAATAAATAAAACCAAATTAAAGAATAATCTGCCACGATTAAATGGAAATGCCTTAAATTCAATTCCTAAAATACACTTGGCCAGAAACCAATGCACTGACAGACAAATATTAGCACAATCAAATATTACTTCAGAAGCAAATGTAATTTGGCCGGTCTCAATGCTCCTTTGAAAGGACAAAAATAAAAAAAGTTACATATGTTCTTTGGTAGGAAAAATAACCTATACAGTCGAAATGTAAAAGTTCAAATACACTAACCTGCAACATGGCCATAAGCATAGTAAGAAGTGCATAAGAACCTAGTCCACCAGAATATACCTGCACACCATACAGAAACTTGAATTAAGACACAGAAAATTTAAAGATAATGGATCGACTAACATACACGATATGACAACTACAATAAGAATTGAAATCCACAGTTAGAAACATACCTCATTCAGTTCTCTCTGCTGCAAAAACACCTTTAAGATCAAACACAGAGGACGCAAAGGAGGCCACTTACTGATTGCACCCTGCAAGGGGGAAAGTAATAGCAATAAGCAGATAAACCGTACATTTCAAATCCATGTGTACGGAGGTTTTCATGCAAATATCCCAAGCCATGCTTCTAATCAACTATATGTACACATTCCATTAGCAATCAATAACCATAGAATTCAAATCCATTTTTCTAACAATAAGGGAAGTGAAAGTCAGATTTCGTTTGAGTATTCGAACTCAAACTTATTTTCAATTATGTGCAATCAAATTCCATAATCAATCAAAATATTCCTCAAATACCAATGACTAAAAACATGCATGTTCTGTTGAAATTACAAACGGTGGAAGAATACACTGAAATCCAAACAAGAAATAGGCAAAAGACATCAAGAAAAAATAATTAATATTATTCTGTAAGAACCAAGAAAAATTAATATACAACAGCAAATTATCACAGAACTTGTAACATTTGTTGAAAGAAGTCATTTTGAGAAAACCTCACAAACATAATTTGAAGATCAAGCAGTCACCTCCTAATAAAGATCACAACAATAAAATACACACTGCAATAATTGAGCTAGGAAGGCCATCATAACGAAAGATTGAAGTACAGCACCAAACCTTTATAAAATCAGCAGCTTTTGGTCCATTCTGCACGTCAAAACTGTAAAGCAAGAGATAAGATGTCAATTTTTAGACTAGTATGGGCTTTTCCATCATTACATTCCTCCTTTTGAGTTACTATTCTCTAATCACTTTAGCTGTATATTTGTGTGTGTGTGTGTGTGTGGGGGGGGGGGGGGGGGNGGGGGGGGGGGGGGGGGGGGGGGGGGGGGGGGTGCAATAGATATTATCAATATTATCTCAATGAAAGTTTAGTTTTCCATCAGTTTTCAGTTGCAAAAGCATATTCAATACTGAAAAAAAAAACTTAACCAGTGAATGGAGCTCTGTGCACTCTTCTGGATACAGTAATTGTTTTATGGATGCTTTTTAGTGCAAATCCTGTTTTAACTTCACTTTTACTTTTCTTCGTGGAAAGAAGAATTTTTTTTAAACAAATTTATAAATATCAATAGTAGTCCCAAAAATTAACATTATACCTTATATCAAAAGATATACCACTTTGCTTTTCAACAAACTTAATTATTGGCACACGAGCCTTTCCAATAACCTGATCCAATGATAACATGGGAGATTCCAAAAATAAAGTCAATGAAGATCCTGATCCAATCCCGACCAAAGCAATCACTATCATTAAAAGATACCTGAATCTTTTTTGCTATTCCCTTTTGTGATAAAGCCCTGGAAAGAGCTTGCAAACCAAGTTGTGGTTTTGGGATGCCTGAATCCAGAATAACAACCTGCAAAAACGAGTTATAAATTATAATCATAAATTTACTGAAATATAAAAAAAAAATTGCATCCAATAAGATCGACCACTTGATTCTAAATAATAACCAATTTTTCCATAGTCAATCCATTATGAAATATCACTAATCAAGGACAAAAAAGAAAAACTATGTATATAAAGACCGACAGCCCAATTACAAATAAAAGCTGCCACTATCCTGTTAAATATGCAATTGCAGACCGCAAGTTCCAGAGAAGAATGTAGTAGCTTAGAAAAATGTTACATATGATGAGGACCAAACCATATCACAGACTCACATTGACTTCACTTGACCTAAACTAACTGTTCATATGCCACATATTTCATAATCCTTACATTTTTAGCGAGTATCATTCACGTAGTTGCATTTAACAATAAAAAATGCAGAATCATGAAGAAGCAAAAAATGAATTGGAATCACTCCCAAATCCACCATATTGTTGTGCAGCTGTCTCTACTCTATTAGGGATCAACTATATCATTTACTTGGATCTCATATTAGAATTCTCGGCAGATCCTCTTTCAACCTCTTTGCACTTGTCAAGAAATTTCCAACTCTTTCTAATTTCTTTCCAATGATCCAGTCAGTAACAACGGCCAAGAAAAACGGGTAGTTGTAAAGCATATTATAATAAGAGTTGAAAATCATGAAACATCTAAAACATGGATCTAGAAACTCACATCGATGTCACTGGTTGGAAGATAAAGCCCTGTCTGAAACGATCCAAAAACTTCAACCTATAAAACGCAAAGGAATAAATAAATAAAATATTCCATTCTCTTGAAATCAAGCATGGGACACGAAATTATAGGGGGCATCAATCATACCTTACAGTGAGGCCATATGTGTTTGACTACACTAAAAACCCTTTCAACTGCACTGTCTCGTGCAACACGTTCTTCTTCAGTTGGAGATAGAAACTCACAAAAATCAACTATTTCTGCATGTAATCAAAAGTTATGAACTCAGAACAACAATGATGTGTACAGCATGATAACAAATTATGGATGTGGGTATCAAGGGCCGCATCGTAAACCATGGAATGAGATGAACGTAATGACACGGTTGGATTGTTGGTATGAGGAGAAACTAGCTTCGTATACAATTTGCAGATTAAGTAAACGAACCAGCACCTTGAAATTTTATAGATAGATACAAAGGAAAGAGTTAAGAGAACAAACGCAGTGGAATTCAGATAGTGTAACCAATTAACCATGTTATATTACGAGTAGCTTGAGGAAGAAAATGTGGATGATAATTACATTTATCTATCCAAAACAAAAGCAAAAAATCTTCTTTTAAAAATCTTCCAACCCGAATCCCTACTTTTTAATTCCACCTTCTGAGAAAAAGGTTGAGCCGAACAAAAAAAGGAGTGGAACGACTGATGACCGGATTTTAGGCTCGGGACGGCGAAGAGGCTGCCGTGGCAGTTAAATGCCAGTCCATTGAAAACGATGAGAAGTTCAAATAAACAAACAACAAGACCCACGTTCTATTTTAACTCGATAACTGAAACTTCTGTCGTCGAGGAGATAATTCAAAGATGAGTGTAACCGTTTGAAATAAACTTCTACCGACTCAAGAGCAACAAACTAATCCGATTACCTTTATGCAACTGTAGCATAGGGCTCTTGAATCCACCATTGCCACGGAACCACCCACTTTCAAGCATCGACTGATCCTCACATTCCGGCGTCCTAGGCTCAGTTTCCTGAACCGAAGTAACCGCCAAAGGAGTAGAAAACCCCGAAATTTCCTCCACGTTGTCAGCAGCAACATCAAGGGCAAAAAACTCGGTTGCTGCAGTCTCGGCCGGAGCAGAATGAGAAGTAGAGAGAGAGATCTCGTTGCGGAAAACGGCGTAGGGCTCGAGGTTATCGGAAGGCGAGAGTTGCTCCTCGCTTCCGGTGGTAGCGACGGCGGAGAATGAAAGAGGGCTTAGAGTATCGTACAGATACTGTTGAACAGTCTCTTCCTCCATTGAAATTGAAGGCCACAGAGACAGGGAGATGCAGCAGCAAGGGGTTTTAGTAATTCGTCAGTTGGGGGGAAAATGTCTGATTAGGGCTTTATAGACCCCCCCCCCCCCAAAAAAAAAAA